TGCCTTTGACACCAAGGCTTTCCACTTTCCGCTATCGTCTTAATTGGTAGTGTTAAACTAGATCGATTTCTCTGTGCTTGCTTCTTCGTTGTAAGATAGATGTTTCTGATCTCCGGCCTGGTTGACTTCATGGGGAGCAGTGCGAGAAGTGGGCACTTTGTTAAGACCGTGTCCTTTGTTTCCCTCTGCGGATCGGAAACAAGCCCGTGACTTAAATAATTTTTCTCAATATTAACGTGAAAGTCCAAGTGAATTTTCAGGTTACTGAGAAGAGTGCAGATGTTCTCGGCTATACTGCTTAATGTAATTTTATGAGACAAATCCTGGGACCTAAATGTTTGAATGTATAATGTAGGACATTTAGACCTGAAATATAGTTTTTAGGAATCGCTTTTCTTGTTCAGGGAGAAAATTGCCTGTTTATGTGGCGGTTGCAAGGACTGCTGTGGAACTGATATGTTGTCTGAGCGTATGAAGCATCTTAAAGGTCTCAGTATGCTTAAATGGCTCCATATCAGGGAGATTTTTTAATGGAGCTTTAAGCGAAACCTACACATTAAATTATAGTGCGTGTAGAATGGTACATATCGACGAAAAAATTGTTAATCAGTAAACAAATAACTTAAATCAGGTAATTATCAAATTAATAGCCTCTGGGTCTCTTAATTATCACTGGGCTGGACGGTCTCCACTCAGATAGAAAGATGTCAGTTTATACAGTTGCTTATCAGAACGTCGCATATAAAATGACATATTATTCTTTCAAATCGAGAAGGTTCATTGATTTCACATAATCAAGTGTATATTGTCACAAGACTTTTCATGACCATTGTAATATAATAATAATAATTTGCTTTATTCCATAAACAGTACGTGTGATACAGAATGGAATTCTCAGCATTTTTACTACAGTATTGCATCCAGTTAGTACATTATCAATATATGGAATTCTACATAGATTAAGGAAATCTCAGTTCATTATTACAACAACACATTGGCATGTCGGTAGCAAAGCCAAAGCTGAAACAGTGTTTTAAGGTGTTAGAAAAATAGGAGCTGTCATATTTACTGGCGTAAGCGAGAGAAAGAAACAAAGCAGCACAAAACGAAAAAAAGAGAGAGAGAATAGGAAAAGAAAGAAAGAAAATGTTGTACCTATAAATGATATGAGTTGGAAAGACGAGGTCCAGTTGTACTACTGACTATTTAACGAATTATAGGTGTCACGCCTAATGCTTTCTTTGTCGCACAGAACACGAGCTAAGTAGGGTATGGTTGAGTTTTCGTACTTGCTGGTGCGAGCATATAGTTTTCTATATAGGCTTGTGGTTTTGCCTGATGAGATGCAAGGGGATTACCTCCATCTATTTTTGAATTTCCTAGTCTCACTTCGATCAAAAGGCGAATTCTGATAAAATTTCATCGGCGAAAAGCAGTTATTTACAAGAGACATTTCATGGGCTCAAGGGCTTGGTTTTTTGAGGGATTATTGGCCTTGGGACTATTGGAATTCAACAAGTGATGTCTGTTTCCAAAAACTTAAATGGCTTCAGAACATTCACTGATGAATAGTTCTCTTTACAAACGGCAGCAAGATGAAGTGGTAAAATAGATAAAAGTGTTTACCTTTGCCACAACTACTTCAGTGCTCATCGCATGAATTTAATGTAAATACTGGTTTCTTCTAGGTATTTAGCGGTTTGGCCTAAAGGTTTTAATCATCAAACGAACACAGATCACCGCAGAAAATCTAGGATAGTTCTCACTGTGACACCAAAACACAAAATTCAACGAAAATAGTGTTTTTATTGTCACTGAAATATTTTCCTAGACAATAAATTTCACGACAGTCATGTGAGTACGGTGATATTTCTTCGAACACGAAGAACATAAAGCGTCATCACCGATATGATTATCAGGAACAAATTGTGCTCGAAAACTCATCCATGTATCAATACTTCATCATTGTGAGTTATATCAAATAAACTTATGTAATATGGAATAAATTACATGGCTTTTAATGCCATGGTGATCGCCGATCGAGGGAGAACACACGACGTAAGACAATATATAATGACAACCCTATCGAGTGGCAGATAATGACCATAATATAGTAATGATGACTTGCCTGATCCAAAAGAAAAACAAAATCAATCGACACACCAGATTTCGATTCCATAACAATGAGGGTCAAGTATCCGTTAGGAATTTATTACGATCCATGTGGATAACTGATATGATCTCATTTACAGTTGATGTTGCGGGGATCGAAGAAGTCCGTCAACTCAATTGAACCTCATCCATTTAACCATCCTAGATCAATTTATTTGTTTGTGCGAAGTGAAACACATGGTGGTCAAAGTAATTTTCAAGGGAAACGAGGGAGAGAGTGCAGCACCTTGGGGGGGGGGGGACGCCGGCTTCAGTGAGTACAGCAGGGGATGATTTACCTTTGTATACGGTGTACTGCTTTCTGTTAGAGAGGTATAACTGCAGCCAGTTAGTGACCCAGGACTCAGTTTTTGTCAAAGAGAGCTTATTTAGCAGGAGACATCTAGGTACAGAGTCGAAAGCAGAAGTGAAGTCGAGAAACGTGCAGCGGACGTATTTGGCACCTTCATCTAATGATGAGACGATGTTGTTGTGTAAGACGGCTGCAGCGTCTAAAGTGCTCCTACCCTGTCTATAGGCAAATTGTTTGGGGTCTTCAAAGTTTTTAAGGGAGGGTTCAAGCTTAAGAAGTGTTAGTATTTCCATAAGCTTTAGAAACGGGGAAGTGATAATAATAATAATATCAATCACTTTATTCCACAACAATAACAATTTACAGGATGGAATTTTCAGCGTTTCATTTTACATATTGCATTGGTTTAGCTCTTTTTATAATTATATGAATGTATGAAATGTTAAAAATATTGATAATTAATAGGAAAAAAATAAAAACCCCAACAAAATCAAACCATTTCTAGGTCACAGTGAATAATAAATAAATAATATAACAAATCACACATGCAATAATATGCATCATTACATTTTATAGTGTAGTTAATGATTTAAAAGTTGTAAAAGTTCTTTTCTGATATTCGTCTCTTCACACAATACTCGTGCCAAATATGGTACGGTCGAATTTTTATATTTTGTAGTACGAGCATAAATGTTTATGAAATTTCTTCTGGTCTTACCCGAAGAGATACAAGGAAACAAATGTGAATAAAGAGGATGTTCACTATCTGACAAAATAACTTTAGCTAAGTGTTTACAAGAAATCATGTGCCTATTGACAACAGTGTCAGTTAGTTGAGTCAAAGGGATAGCACTGACCCTACTTAAAGCTCTCAATGATGGCAATGGATTTGAACTTTACGTTCCTGCCGTTTCCAGGCTTAGGGACAGGGATTATTTTAATGTATTTCCATGCATCAGGTACGAGATATTTGGACAAAGAAGCAGTTAGAATGTTAGTAAGTGGAGAACACAGAGCATCTGCACATTGTTATAGAACATATGCAGGAAAACCAAAAGAGCTAAGGATAAGTGGGGCCTTGAGCGATTCAAGATATTTTAGAACGGATGTGAAAGATCGAACGAAGATATTAATCATCAAAATCTGTCATTTTTAACATCTTTTACTCTCAGTGTCCATGCCTCACGGACGTGAATTATCAGAGAAGAAAATGGTGCGTCGTACACACGTCTCTCCACACGAGACATGATACTTCGATCGTGTCAAAGATGACGCGGGTTGGCGAGTAGCAAATCAGCCTGTTGTATCCCCGTTGAGATCCCGTCAACCAGAAAATCACTACGGTTGATCTGAACTCTCAGCCATGCAGGACAATCGACACATAGAACAGATGATTGAGATGCTCTCCGGTCGGGTAGTATGTTGAACACTGTTTGACAAAATCAGTTGTCTACACATCTGCTCGTCAACAGTTGGCAAGACTTTCAGCAATAGACTCTGGTGGATATTAATAAAAATCTCAGATATCTGTGTGTCAATCATATCGAATCTTGTGTGATTTAGAGGAAATGGTTAGATATTAACCTAGTGAAGATTACCATGTGAAACAGGATAAGCTTCTAAAATCTTAGACATATATCTTTATTATATTATTGGTAGCGATCTGAATATTCGGCGTCGGCAGTGGCACATCTCCATTAAGCTCTGTTCTCTACAGTCTCGCTTTACAAACTGGAAGAGGAGGTAGGAAGTTCGTCATTAGGGCTAACAACGGAAACTCCTGGAGAATTTTCAAAGCGCAGAAGACAATATAAAAAGTATTTTTATCAGCAATGTTTATTGATTCAATAGATTTTATCCTACCTCATCGATTATCAATCGATGAAAAGAAGAAATGAGAAACACATCAAAGACAGGAAAGTATAGGTTGCAGAAAAAAATGCACAGTAATAACTTCTTCATGAATAAATGCACTTGTTTAATTTATAAGATATATGTACAATAACCGAGATTGTTCACAATTTCAGACCGACAGTCTTTTGTTGAACTTTAAAAGGTCAAGAGGGAGTTGCAGTACTGAATCATAGTAATGCTTAATACCATTATATAGTACAAAGAAGAATGGAGAATAAAGACCAGATTTCACATTCAGTTAAATAATAAAGTAGCACTATCAAGTTGCAAGAACACTGATAAAAAATATAACTTGATGTAACTACTTTTCGCTAGAAAACTAATGAATACAAACTTTACATTGAGATAAAGTGATATTTAGAACTGTTTCACTACTTCAACGAATGGACATTAGTTTGAGGGGAACACAGATTGTGGAATCACCATCACCACTCGTGAATATTGATTGGTTGCTTCAACTGAGAATTGTAATTGCTTCTGTTAAGTGTAGACTAAAATCCAAGTACCTTGTCAACCTTATTCTACATCGGCCAACATTTCTGACAGAGAAATGCGGTGTCTTCGTGTGCATAACACATTCCCCAGCTACCTTAGCCAAGATAACTTCATGTAACTAAATCTTTCAGCTTCTAGTAGCATGGTTATTAGGAGGAATCAAATCACCACCTCCAACTAACTGAGCAATTCCACGTCTACCAACTGCTTCTATTGCAGGAGTGAAGACCTGTAAAACAGAGAAGGAAAAAGTAGTAAGGTATATTAGTCAGACCTCAGTTAAGCAAAAGAGATGATTCATTATGCACCACGCTATTAGCCACACTAATTGTATGTGTGGGGAGGGGGGTTGAAAATGCCTAATACCTTAAGCTGAAGTAGATGGAGAAGGATTCAATCCACTGCTTAAAAGACAAGTGCTGAAGCTGAAGAACCACATCTCTACAGTATTCTGAGTAGTAAATTACTCAATGCAAACTGTATAATAATGAATAATTACTCCACTCAGTAACCACATGCACGTGCGTAGACTCCCATCACACTCTGGTTCGCGCACATTTATGCTTACAATTAAATAAACATAAAAAATTGTTGGCAGCGAAGCAGTTGCGTCCCCAACTAGATCGAAACTCTGAGTCCCTATTTCAGGAGGAAATAGCGAAACGTGTATCTGAAGTCGACAGAAGGACTCCTCCTGAGGTAGCCTGCCACAACATACAGTTAGCTGGAGACACACCTGCAAAACCTGTTAATAGCCTATAACCAAAAGTTAGTAAGAGCCATTGGATCTCTACCGCCTCATCCGGTCTGATTGACGCTAGAAGACTGATTCCGACGAGCTCCGATTATGATAAGGAGAGAAAGCTACTCAAACGCAAACTAACAAGAAGTCTTCGTAACAACCGTGAACAGTGGTGGGCGACAAAAGCGAAAGAGATGGAAAAGGCATCGGCGATTGGTAACCCCCACAACTATCTAGACTTATCAGGGAAACAGGTAGTAAAAGGCAAATGATAAGTGAAACAATCCCTGAGAAAAATGGCACCATAATTAGCCACCAGGATAGACGACTGGAACGCTGGGAAGAACACTTCGAGGAGGAGGTTAATCGGCCCACAGCCACGCTCAACCCCCGCCCTGAATGGGATATAAACACAGGTCTTCCGTAATTCCATTATGGGTAAATTTTGTTTTGATAGTCTCACAGTGTTATACAGTAATGTTTACTGATGACGTTTCGAGCACAAATTATTGCCACTCATAATCATATCAAGGTAATCACACGACTTCCTAAATTCATTTATATAGTTCCATTGTTTTTCACTTGATTTCATTGGTAGTAATATTTTCCATATTTCGGGTATGAGTGATGAATCATTCTTATTGCATGTGTTGGGTGTAGACTCGATGAACAAGGATTCAGTAATTAACCTCTCTCCACCTACTTAGATTACTTTTTAGAATTTTAACCCTCTCCCACCCTATTGTGTGGTTGTGTGCTAATGCATGCATTGCAATTGCTGAGCTTTTTTCTAAATTACTTATCTTGTCTGGGTCAACCATTCTTACCTTAGCTAAATTCTTATGTCCCGGCAATCTGACTACCCCTGACCTACTAGTTTGACCTATGTAGTTGACCTCTCAGTCATTGCAGGGTATTTTGTAAATTATATTATTTTGTCTAATTGGGTCAACTGGGTCCTTTAATCTACAGAGCTTGTCCCTGAGTGAATTTGTAGGTTTACATGCCACGCTAATTCCTGCTTTATTAAGAATCCTACGTAGGGTCTCAGATGTCCCTCCTTTATATGGTACTAATGTGCTCCTAGATTCATTTGACAGCTATCCAGACCACTGTTAATTTGCTTTTTGAAAACTATGTACGTAGACCAATGCGGCACACTTCTACATACGGCTCTCCTTTCAATTTAAGATATTCCTATGTAATAATGTTGCAGTCAATCTCAAAAAAGAATATTGTTTTCAATAATTTATCTTCAGGTTCTTACAATTATAAAATATATTTGTTGTTGTTACAATAATGGTCAGTTATGCGGCGGATGCATTTTTAACGTAGAATAACAGATTAGTTATGGAGTGCCAAAATAAATAGTATTTGTGTGACAAACGTGCTGGGCTGAAATCGACTACAAAATATTGTGAAATGGGAGGCAGTGGTGGTAATTAGTCACGACGTTTGTCACACAAATACAACTATTCATTTTGACACCCCATAACTAATCTGTTATTCTACGTTAAAAATGTATCCGCCACATAACTGGCCATTATTGTAACGACAATAAATATTATATCTTACATTTTATAATTGTAAGAACCTGAAGATAAATTATTGAAAACAATATTCTTCGTTCAGATCTTCAACATGTTGCAATTTTGGTAGGAAATATAACGACACACATACCTTATTCATCACTAACTCAGCTGAATGGTCTATAGCATTGGCTAATTCCGGCGCTTGACCAGTATAACTTAAAAACAACCACGTAAACAATGTTATTAAAGCAATGTAGAACGGCATAGTCAGAACATTTGAAATCACTGATAAGCCAATGAACTCAGATATTCCTGTGACAACATGGAAAAGCAGTAAGATGACAACCAAGACGGTTGGAGTACGAAAAGTCTACAAATGAAAAAGAAAAGAAAACAGGCAGTTAATATACTTATTTCCTAAATAATAATAATAGTGTATGATTAACAATAAAATCATGTAACTCAGTCTTGCACAATAGAATTATATATAGACACCTTATTTTCCAATTATTAATGAAATGAATCGTAATCAGAATATTACACAAATCGAGTATGTTATAGAATATGATTACGAATTCAAAACACGGCTGTTAGTCATAGTACGAAAGTCTGATAATGTCATTCTACTTTCCATATTGAATAAGTTTATTTCAAATGTCACAGCGATACAGTATTAATAACTAGATGACGTTTCGAGTATAAATTATTGCTCATAATCATATTCTACTTTCTTTATAATGACGGAGTAAATACTATTTGCGAGTTCCTGTTTGACGAAACGAGGATTGAATACACTTAGTTTTGTGTTACATACTAGGAGTTCATCAACGGAAAACCTGGAACTTGGACACAATGAATTTCGGTACGCATTAATCAGTAGTGTTTACATCCAGGAAAAATTTACTGTTTCCTCTGAAAATCGAACTGAAACTTTATTGTTAACTGAGCAACACCATTAGTACAGCCAGTATTAGTATAATTACAGAGTGCATACATATGCGAGCACTATCAAATTCTCCGTTTTTAAAGGTATATACTATAAAAGTTACATCTATTAGGCTATATTTCGATATCTAAATGAGAAGTCTTCATCAATCAGTTAAATCATCATATAATTATATAATTCAACAAGTCATATGATATTTAAAATATGTTATGAATAAGACAGTGCGAATGACAACAGTGTTTTGCTGCAAGTCAACAATTTAAACAGATGGTTCTCCAACCAACAGTTTAATCACACACTAAAAGAGAAAAACCTTACAGCTAATCACATATGTACTCTTTGAGAGACTTTAATCTAACTAACCTCCTTTTATACCAAATATAGATATGACTTTATAGCTTTCAGAATAAGATCATTGAAAAGAAACATTTACGTGCTGAATTCATGGACAAATAAGTGTACTGTGTTGTATGCTTGAGAAGGGATAGTATATACTCCTTGTTTGCAAGCCACTTACTTATCGGAACAAATTTATAAATACAATAAATGAAACTATTCTTAAAAATGTACAAAGACATTAACATACTTGAAATATGTTCTTTTTAGAATTCGCTAAGCGGAAGTCTTCTCCCATTTGCGTTATTGTTTCCTTTAAGCGATGCAAATACTCTTCAGAAAATGCTTTACCACCCATTTTAGGGATACTATTGAACTTCTCAATACAATTATTATATATTTTCAAATGCAACGCTTCTAGTTCATTTGGGTTGATGTACGGTCGGTCTGGTCCACATATCTAAAGTTTAGAAAGAAAAGTGGAATCAGGGTTCACAACAGTGTACTAAATGACTTGTTATGAAATAAATATATGGCACAGCTTTAGGGAATTACTTAAGAACAGTGAAAATAAGCATCGTGTTGGTTAGGGCTCATCAGTGCATACTTCAGAACTCAAATAACCTAACGTGCCACTAGAAATGCTGTCTCATATTACATCATTCAAGTAAAAGATGGTATTACAAAGTGTTTGAAATAGACTGAATATACAGACACAACTTAATATTTATATTATTATAATAATAATAATAACAATAATGAAAACAAAACACGTTGTGCAGCGAACAGTTTCTTTTCAACGAATTCATTCACTTAGCTGTACAATCGTAATTGCATATACTTGCTGTTGTATGAGTCTGTACATTAAGTTTGTCCGATAAGAATAAAAATAAGTTAGGGTCAAGACATTTCAAAAATGTGATGAGTAATCAGATTGTAACTAGGGTCGGGGTGAAGATTGGTAAGAGGGTAGTTGTGATGTGTTGTCAAAAAACATAGTTGTCGATGTTAATCAACACATAAAAGAAGTTGAATAAACGTAATACAGTTGTTGACTAACATCAACAACTATGTGTTTTGACAACACATCACAACTACCCTCTTACCAATCTTCACCCCGACCCTAGTTACAATCTGATTACTCATCACATTTTTGAAATGTCTTGACCCTAACTTATTTTTATTCTTATCGGACAAACTTAATGCAAGCAATTAAAGAACAGGCTCTGAACAGTTGCCTGTTCTTTAATTGCTTATAATTCTTGTATTCATTTAGAACTCTTACGTAATTTCGTATTATCTGCTTTGTTCCTGAGTAAAACTCACTCATCAAACTATTCATATTATTACATAGCTTCTTTTAACAACTGTTTGTGACAACTCATCACCTTTGTTACTACCCTAATTTCACTAACACCTAATTTTCTTGACTGATTTTGTATTACGTAACTCCAATTACCAATCTTCACCTGTTTACTTCGGTTGTGTGAACAGACAGGTAACTGAAGAATGGTGAATAAACGCTAATAGTTTTTCTTCCATAAATCAACTAGTGCAAAGTACTGTTCCAAGTGAATTATTTATTGTATGTTCCCTTTATTAATTTGATGTCACACGGAAAGCTAATTACCATAATACTTCTACCCCGTATGAGAATTCTTAAAATATAACTCATGTTATAATCCTTGAGAATAATTAACTTTGTGCATGTAGTCAACGGAATATACTAATACTACAAGCCAATTAAAAGTGAAGGAGTTCACCGGTAACATTCAAAAGATGTTGGATTAAATAATCAATGAAACCCCTATTATCGAATTAGAAAAGACTCGTTTTTAAGGCATATCATTTGTACTATACATAGGACAAAAAAGGTTTGATTTGTTTACCTTGTTCATCGCCTCTGTGTACATTTCTTGACAAGCTAATATTGCATTTAAATTATTTGCTTCTGCAGTCGCCTCCAACATTGAACGTGGTTCTGGAAGAGTATCACTCTCGTAAATCTTTATGTATGCTTTGAAATAAGTAAATAATTCACGGCACGTAACTTCCTGGCCATTTATCTTTTTGACAACTAAATTGACTGGGGCTAAGAGATCAGGGACCAGAACTATGAGATTTTCAACGAAATCGGGATCAATGTCTTTCACTCGCCCGTCAAACTTCGGATTAGTTGAAACTTTAAGACCAGGATGAGGCATTAGAAAACAATCCACCTGAGAGAAACACGATCGAATATGCCGACGAACAGTTTGGTGCTCTGTGTGGTGTTGTTGAACAATCTGAGGAAATAAAATGTGATTGTAAAAAAAGAAAATTAAACGTTTGCAAATCATTGTCAATTTTCAAACCCTAATTTCTCGGTGCGATTTGTTTAACTGGACAGTGTAGTTATCGGAAGAGTAGAATAAATTTGAAAAAAGCAACACATTACACCCCATGACGCAATGACTAGTGATACAACCTGGATTTGTGATGACTTAGCGAAACATTTAAATTGCTTTCGTAAAGTTCCAACAAGTGTTTATTCCGATAACTATAAATCTTAAGACATAGATCAAATGACATACAGAATGTCAAAACACCGCTTAATGGATCATACGGACATCCTACATGATGTAATTCAATCAAAAACTAAAATGCAATGCAGAAAAACATACAGGAGAACCGAAACCATTTTTCAAAATCAGATAGTTGGTTTCCAGAGAAACGGAAAACGAAACAGGCAGAGGCTGATATACACGAGGTTCATCCATGTACCATGACAAAGTTTACATCTGAGGGAGAAATTATTCCCATGCTTTTAATAATATGGAAGTGACTACACGATCTTAAATTAAAAATGAGAGTCTTCAAGTATTGGTTTTGTAGGGATTTCGTTCGATTGGTTAGAGGATTTCATCATCAACTGATGTCAGCTCATGATGAAATCCTCCAACCAATGAAAAATAAGGGTATTCCTTACATATAAAATAGAGACCAAAATAAAGTCATGGCTCACTGAACATCTTCACTGGGATATATGTGAAGTCCCTATCTTATTAATGTGAATGCATCATAGTCTATGCAATGTTTCAGGAATAGATGCGCTAGCATTTATTACACAAGGTAAATAGCAGGGAGTGTCAGAAAGAGGTCATGCTACAATTAACAAAAATCCTTTTATGTAAGAGCAACAAAGAGAAGCTTCAACATAATAACAACACACTTAAAATCAACAATACGAAGTACCACATATTCAAAATCACCTTGAGACGGTTATTGAGCAACTGATTACCACCATCTTTTCCAAAATTATATTCGTAAGGATAACTCCAGTCACGAACAAGAAACAACAGATGCTAAATAGGAAACAAATGTGAATTAGTATATGTAATTATTATATTGAACGTTAAAAAGTAGCTCTGTCTGGTTGCCAAAAATGAAATGCACCTACCTTTGTCTTGTGAAGATAGCCACGATAAACTTTCAGTTAATTTCAAGGAAGTCCCTGTTTAAAGGTTTCTTTGATACTACATTTCCATACATATATCGCTATAAACACTGCGACAACCAATATACTCTAAATGAATACCGAAGATACATTTTATAGATCAATTTTTGCTAACAGGTTCATTATTCACCTCATCCACCCTACGTTACTTTTCGACAGAGAAAACAATAATTAACCAAATAATAGAATCAAGACAGTTGAAGCTTTAATAACTGCAACTGTAAATAGGAAAAACAATTTATTTCTACGCGTTCATCTAATTACAACAGATCTACGTTAGTCAACACCATCTCAAGTATTGCTCACCAATTGTCGTTATATTTCTTGAGATTGGGCCTATCTTTGATGCATCGGAAAACCTTGAACTCTGAAATTCTGTGGTAGATAAAGGAGTATCTCAGGAGTTTATCAACATTCTCAATGCCCCATGCGAAATTACCTCAGGTAAACTAAAATCATACGACCACCTATCACCACTGTTCCCAGACAGCAATGGCGTTAGACACGCTTGTCCAATTTCGCCAATTCTCTTCAACGTCGTCTTCAATGACATTCTAAGTACAACTATGAAGGATCAGTGTGACAGTAGTGTGGATCTGCTGACTGAAGAAAGGCCTTGCAACCTTGAATAGGGGGGGTGACATTAGTTCACTGTGTGATAATGCATAGACTACCCAAATATCACCTTGTTGGTTGATAATCAGTATCCATAGGTATGGTTTTTCTATTCCTTCACGTTCCCAGTGGAACATAGGGCTTCAAGCTAGAAGCTTGAAGTTTCTGTAGCAGTATTTATTTTTACAGGATGGGGTTGCTAGCCTCATGCCCAACCTTTCCTCTTCACCAGCTTTTAGTTCTGGCTTAGCGAGGTAAAGGAGTGTGTCGGCCGGGGATCGAACCCCGGACCATGTGCATGGTCAGCGAGCGTCCTAACCGCTATGCCACTGACGCACCTATAGGTATGGTATGTGTAAGTTACTACTACAAGATTCGTAGGAGACCGTCCTCGCACCCACATTCACATGCCAACCATTAGAAGTATTCGAGAAGTTTATGTATCCAGGTAGTTTTCAGCACCGATTTTGTGATGGGTGAAATTTGCAATATGTAGTGAAAATCAGGTGACATATGTCAACACGAGCAACCTCAAGCGCCAGTGACATTAATCCGACCAACAGACATCTGATTTATGAAGAACATTCTTATTAAAAAGTCAGGGATAGTTCGCATTCATTTATCGTTGTCTCCGTATAAATTTTGCATCCAGCGATGTTGTCACGCAAATAATTCTGTTATCCAGTGGCACTAGTTTGAAGAGGGAAGAGATCATCGCTCCACAAGTGACTTTATTTTAGGGAGCTGGCTTTGCTAGTCTAGGTGTGTGCTACGAATATCCGGCCAATGACTTCCACACTGTTCACTCTGTCGACCTCGGGACAAAGGAAAAGAAAGGCTTGGATAGCTTACGACGCCACACCACGGGATAAAGAGAACAGGTGTTGGGTCAACACAACCCACTGGGTGAAGTCTGAGAGATCATGAGACTAACTGTTACCAGACGGATATTGCTCGGAGTCGAAATCAAAGCTAACATGTTACTAATTCCTTACTTCTTCTTTTTGAAAGTAATATCAAGCTATTAACAGTCATTCGAAAGCATCCTTTACTATTTTTACTCCTTAGCTAAAGTTTTATTTCTTCTGATAACGCTTTACTTTGTGTGCCGCATCTGATTGATTAAATGAGTTCTAAAATAGACCTTTTCACAGAAGTGCAGCAGCTTGAATTGCCATACTCCATGCAACACACAGTAGAGAGAATACAAAAACAAGAGATCCAAAAGAACTATAATCAGCACTAAATGTAAGGCAGAAAATACAGTCAAACCATCGTTGTTGGTTTGTCCACATAGAACTCAGTAAGCGCTGCCAATACACTTCCCTGAATGACACAACTGTTTGAGCATTGAAGTCGCCCACCAAAACAACGCGTGTCGTCTCAAAAATAAGTAAAAAGTTAGTTTCTGGCATGGAGCAACATGGACAGATCATATTTTTCATTAGAAAGAAAGATACCAAATACACAAACGAAGCGAGCAAAATGCAATGAGAAGCACGACGGAAATAAAACGAATGTGTGCGATTACAAGACACACAAAATATATGTGGAACTACGGGGTAAACACTCTACACTTACCGCCATTCCATTGTTTGTCCACTGAATACTGAGGTCCTTGATTTCCAATAAGACTAAGGTCAACTGCTATTGCGAACTAAGTTAAACTAAATTGTGATTACTCCAGAAGGAAAATAAAACTACTAGGACCAAACACGGGAATTTCACTCTATTGGCTACAGCACAACTGAGTTTAATCAGTTCAAATAGATCACTTGGACCACCAGCTTTAAATGCTTCTGCTTAGAGGTCATTATTACTTGTTGGTCAGACATTTCTTAACTGGTGGCTGTCGAGGATTCCACTACACTGAACACATGAAGGTAGCACAATACTGGCTGAACTAATTGTCAGTATTTGGATCGTGTTTAAAAGATGACTTCGTTGGGGAATCACAATCGAATGTCAGTTGATTTTTTCACTGAGATATATTAAATAAGTCTAAACATGACGTGTATATGTACTAAGCTCATGCAAAAGACGTGAGCAAAGGTCAAATAAGGCTATATTTGCAGCCAGCAGGAACTCTACACTATTGGTAGCATATATATATATATATATATATACATATTATATATATAAACCTAAAACTCTGGTTTTTGTGGAATATCTTGTCAAAATGTTGCAGAAAACTATTACAATTATTTGACTTTGAAACACTGAATCTTTGGATATAATATTGTATATCAATATCAATACCAACAACGGAGACAGAGCTACCAGTGAACACCAACCCCCCGACGAAATCAGAAGTCCTGAAGGCAATCAAGATGCTAAAAGCTGGAAAAGCAGCAGGACCAGATGGAATCCCAGCAGAAGCATCGAAAACGGACCCAGAGACGACAGCGGACTTGATGACGCCACTACTGGAGGAGGTGTGGAAAGAAGGCAAAGTAACCGAGGATTGGAAGAAAGGATACTTATTCAAAATACCAAAGAAAGGAGACCTAAGTCAATGCAAGAACTGGCGCGGAATTATGCTCCTGTCCATCCCAAGCAAAATACTAAGCCGCATCATCCTGCAGAGAATCAAACATGCCCACCTGGATGAAAAACTTCGACCGGAACAGGCTGAATTCAGGAGAAACAAATCATGCATTGATCAGATCGCCACATTACGGATCATCATTGAACAAAGCCTGGAATGGCAGTCACCTCTCTATCTCAACTTCATCGACTTTGGAAAGGCCTTCGACAGCGTCGATCGAGAGGTGATTTGGAAACTACTTCGCTACTATGGGTTGCCACCGACAATTATACATCTCATCCAACAGCTGTACGACAATGCTGCATGCCAAGTAATCCACAACGGGAAACTTACGGAACCCTTCGAAGTGAGGACAGGAGTAAGACAAGGCTGCCTACTATCGCCAATGATTTTCTTGATTGCAGTAGACTGGATAATGCCACAAACAGCGGGCAATGAGGAAACAGGCATAAAATGGACCCACACAAAACACTTGGAGGATCTGGACTTCGCCGATGATATATGTCTGATTTCCCACAAACTGGAAGATATGCAAGTGAAAAGCAACAAGTTAGCAGAAGAAGCATCAAAGATAGGACTTCAGGTGAACATAGAGAAAACAGAGGTGATGAAAATTCCTGGGCAACACCACCAACAGCAACAACAACAACTGACAACAATCAGCATAAATGGGAGGAACCTGAAAGAAACAACCTCCTTTACCTACACACCCACCTGGGAAGCATCGTTTCAACTACAGGCTAACGGAACTGACGAGGATATCAAAGCAAGAATCGGAAAAGCAAGACAAGCTTTCAATACTCTCAAGTCTGTGTGGAGGAGATGAACAACACTCAGCATCAGAAATAAGATCCGGATTTTCAACTCCAATGTGAAGTCAGTGCACCTACTATACGGATCAGAGACTTGCACTGCGCGTCATAAAGAGCATCTCAAACAAACTACAAACCTTCATTAACAGTTGTCTTCGCTCAATACTCAAGATCAGATGGTCAGCCAGAAAAGATCAGCAACAGGGAGGGGTCTCTGGGAGCGAACCAACCAGGAACCGATTGTGAAACATTTAGGCAGGAAGAAATGGAGATGGATTGGCCATACTCTGAGGAAACCATCAAGTGACATCACTAGACAAGCCATTGCTCGAGTGGAACCCGAAAGGGAAGCGGCGAGTTGGTCGTCAGTGCAAGGGTGACTTGGAGGAGGTCATGTGAAGAGGAGATGAAAACGTGTGGGCAGACATGGAGCCAGGTGAAGACTCTAGCAGAGAACAGAACGCAATGGAGACGCACGGCTGAAGCCCTATGTTCCTGTAGGAATTAAAAGATACAATAATAACAATAATATATATACATATATAATACTGATCAAATGTTTATATACGTAATTTACAGAAGCTAATTTCCCTGTAGTGTTGACTGCAAAATCAGTTAAAAACAAATTGCTCACCTGAAATGGAGACCCAGAAACTTCTGACTCTAATGCTAACCGACCATATTCAGTGAACAGATGAAGATGTTGGAGGTGATCTTCTTGGATATTACCATGTATATTGTAAACTTGGATACTGCTCAACATTGTACTCAGAGCGAAAACTGTGGCACAATGACGCATAGTACTAGTGCTATCAAAAGAACCCTAATAATCGATAGAGATAAAGTTCAGTTTACATACTTGTGTATCCATTAATAAAACGACAACCTCTTCCCCTGAAGGTAGGGTCATAACAAAAGGTTCACTCCAAAGTAGGATACCGACAGTATCTCGTTCAGAACCACCCCTCCACGGAAACCCTTTTAAGGGTTTATCCGGATCTCCTAGCCAGTTTGTGCGATCTTCACACAACAGGTAACGAAGGAAGAAATCTAACAGAAACGATTTCCCTTGTCGGAAGGCTCCCGCAACTGACAAAACTACGACTTTTTTGTCACGCACACCTGGTTTCAAAAGAATAGCCGATAACGCCTCTTCATTTAAGCTGAACGAAGTTTTTTTGTTGCACTCCTCTACATTGACTACTTGCACGGCGTGCGCTCCCGCGTCACCCATCGTCCGCTGTTTGTAACACTGATGATATAAAGGCCACGTTCTGCCGACAGGTTCAAAGTTCAATAGATTTAAAAATCAGATTTACTGGTTCAGGGTAGAAGGCTTCCAGCCTTTCTAGCTTCAATCCTTTTCTAGCAAATTTCTTTGCATTTCCAACCTTTTTTGAATGGATAAGCTGAAGTTGCAGACGGCATTTCTTCTGGGAGTCGGTTCCAAGAGTTTATGACTCTATGTGAGAACCGGCACTCCAAAACAGTATGGTTTATTCTTAGCTTTCGAAATCTCTCGCTATGTTCTCTAACGTTTTCCAAACTGGTGGGAAGGAAAAGGGGGAATAGGTCAGGTCCGTAGTCATAATTCAAAATTTTAAACATTGTAATCAAATCTCCTCTCCTAGCCGACATGTAAATTCTACCTATTCTTTTTTTCTGTCTCTTCATTAGTATTATTTTGTCTTCTCAATTGTAACATTTTACATTCTCAACTTTCTTGTTCTCTACCCCACCCGATCAATCTCTACACCCCACTACCACTGTTACTGACTTGAACAACGCTCAGTTTCTAGTCATTCATGTTACGTCATCCAACTTATTCACTCAATTTCACTTCTACTTAATCTCTACCTGCAATTACCTCTGTTGTAACATTTTAGCCAATGTCTTTCTTTTTCATATGACTCAACGGGGATTTTCAATCTAATCTCCTCTCTGCCTAGAGTGTGACAGGGAGAAGAGATTTAAACTGTCTGGTCTTTCCTCGTATGGTAAGTTAGTCACACCGATAACCATACGTATTGCCCTCCTTTGAACCCTTTCTAGAATATGTGAGTCCTCTCGAAGACAAGAACTGGCTGCCTGGATACAGTCTTCCAGCCTTGACATCACCAGAGATGTATATAAGGAGGTGGACATATGTCTGGTGATTCTAGTGAAGACTGTGCGAATTGCCCATAAGTATCTGAAACTATGTGTAGCCACCACGCTACAGTGCGCTGCAGTGTTTAAATCGTGACTTGCTATACCACCTAAATCCAAATTAGTCTGAACTGATGGGAGTGTTATTCCCTCTAGTTCGTAGGAGCTGATGGTTGCGTGTACGATGCGCATGGTTGCACATTTTGCCACACTTCTCGGGGCATCCATCCTCTACACCACTCTGAAAACTTTTTGAAGTCCTTCTGCAACGTGGGTGTATCACTGTGGCCCTTCAGGTGTCTCCAGATTTTCAAGTCATCTGCGTATAGGACCATAGGGGAATCGGTAAGCACAGATGACCCTTTGATAAATGTACATCTGTAGCACAGTGGTTAGGACTCTCACCGGCCATGCACATGGTCCGAGGTTCGATCCCCTGCCAACGCACACCTGATATCAATCGGTCGGCCTGCAAAATTTGGGCTACTGCTATCACATGCTGAAAACTCCATACTTGTACCAAAACTACGGTGTGGAATCAAGCTGTAATAAAAAAAACAAATAAATAAATAGGAGAGGTGCGAGTACCATGCCTTATGGTGCTCCGCTACGCACTGTAGTCCAGGAGGGGAGTTAGGAGTTGATCCCAACCCTCTGCCCTCAATCTATAGGGAATTCCCCAATCCAGTTCAGTAAGCTGCCTTTGACACCAAGGCTTTCCACTTTCCGCTATCGTCTTAATTGGTAGTGTTAAACTAGATCGATTTCTCTGTGCTTGCTTCTTTGTTGTAAGATAGATGTTTCTGATCTCCGGCCTGGTTGACTTCATGGGGAGCAGTGCGAGAAGTGGGCACTTTGTTAAGACCGTGTCCTTTGTTTCCCTCTGCGGATCGGAAACAAGCCCGTGACTTAAATAATTTTTCTCAATATTAACGTGAAAGTCCAAGTGAATTTTCGGGTTACTGAGAAGAGTGCAGATGTTCTCGGCTATACTGCTTAATGTAATTTTATGAGACAAATCCTGGGACCTAAATGTTTGAATGTATAATGTAGGACATTTAGACCTGAAATATAGTTTTTAAGAATCGCTTTTCTTGTTCAGGGAGAAAATTGCCTGTTTATGTGGCGGTTGCAAGGACTGCTGTGGAACTGATATGTTGTCTGAGCGTATGAAGCATCTTAAAGGTCTCAGTATGCTTAAATGGCTCCATATCAGGGAGATGTTTTAATGGAGCTTTAAGCGAAACCTACACATTAAATTATAGTGCGTGTAGAATGGTACATATCGACGAAAAAATTGTTAATCAGTAAACAAATAACTTAAATCAGGTAATTATCAAATTAATAGCCTCTGGGTCTCTTAATTATCACTGGGCTGGACGGTCTCCACTCAGATAGAAAGATGTCAGTTTATACAGTTGCTTATCAGAACGTCGCATATAAAATGACATATTATTCTTTCAAATCGAGAAGGTTCATTGATTTCACATAATCAAGTGTATATTGTCACAAGACTTTTCATGACCATTGTAATATAATAATAATAATTTGCTTTATTCCATAAACAGTACGTGTGATACAGAATGGAATTCTCAGCATTTTTACTACAGTATTGCATCCAGTTAGTACATTATCAATAAATGGATTTCTACAAGGTATAAAATAAAAACAACTGGCATGAGGATAATTGTATTAAAACCAAAAGTGGATATCATGATATTTTGTGATATATCTGTAGCATTATACATTGCAGATGAATGTTGTTACCCTAGGGTGTTTCCTTTATTAATGCATTTATTAATGATACTTGCACTTACCTATCTCATTACAATTTAATGATTCACCTCAGCACTTTAATTTTTCTAAAACAGATTCCAATCCCTTGTAAAAGGTGTACTTACCTCAATATCGGTTGGTTATCGTATGCCTACAACCACGGGATGAAAACGGAACGTAGTCGATTTTCCCGCTCAACCTGGAGGACAACTGTACAATTCAATAACTATACGGCTTAATTCAGAAAATGAGTGTATTATATGTATCGAATATTTAACAGTTGAAATACGATTAACTTGTAGACAATCTACGATTTGATATTATATCATACTTGATCGTGCCTGTAAAAATGGCATGCATTTTCATGTAAATTTGTAAATTTATATGAAATACATTATTATTATTATTATAGATTAAGGAAATCTCAGTTCATTATTACAACAACACATTGGCATGTCGGTAGCAAAGCCAAAGCTGAAACAGTGTTTTAAGGTGTTAGAAAAATAGGAGCTGTCATATTTACTGGCGTAAGCGAGAGAAAGAAACAAAGCAGCACAAAACGAAAAAAAGAGAGAGAGAATAGGAAAAGAAAGAAAGAAAATGTTGTACCTATAAATGATATGAGTTGGAAAGACGAGGTCCAGTTGTACTACTGACTATTTAACGAATTATAGGTGTCACGCCTAATGCTTTCTTTGTCGCACAGAACACGAGCTAAGTAGGGTATGGTTGAGTTTTCGTACTTGCTGGTGCGAGCATATAGTTTTCTATATAGGCTTGTGGTTTTGCCTGATGAGATGCAAGGGGATTACCTCCATCTATTTTTGAATTTCCTAGTCTCACTTCGATCAAAAGGCGAATTCTGATAAAATTTCATCGGCGAAAAGCAGTTATTTACAAGAGACATTTCATGGGCTCAAGGGCTTGGTTTTTTGAGGGATTATTGGCCTTGGGACTATTGGAATTCAACAAGTGATATCTGTTTCCAAAAACTTAAATGGCTTCAGAACATTCACTGATGAATAGTTCTCTTTACAAACGGCAGCAAGATGAAGTGGTAAAATAGATAAAAGTGTTTACCTTTGCCACAACTACTTCAGTGCTCATCGCATGAATTTAATGTAAATACTGGTTTCTTCTAGGTATTTAGCGGTTTGGCCTAAAGGTTTTAATCATCAAACGAACACAGATCACCGCAGAAAATCTAGGATAGTTCTCACTGTGACACCAAAACACAAAATTCAACGAAAATAGTGTTTTTATTGTCACTGAAATATTTTCCTAGACAATAAATTCCACGACAGTCATGTGAGTACGGTGATATTTCTTCGAACACGAAGAACATAAAGCGTCATCACCGATATGATTATCAGGAACAAATTGTGCTCGAAAACTCATCCATGTACCAATACTTCATCATTGTGAGTTATATCAAATAAACTTATGTAATATGGAATAAATTACATGGCTTTTAATGCCATGGTGATCGCCGATCGAGGGAGAACACACGACGTAAGACAATATATAATGACAACCCTATCGAGTGGCAGATAATGACCATAATATAGTAATGATGACTTGCCTGATCCAAAAGAAAAACAAAATCAATCGACACACCAGATTTCGATTCCATAACAATGAGGGTCAAGTATCCGTTAGGAATTTATTATGATCCATGTAGATAACTGATATGATCTCATTTACAGTTGATGTTGCGGGGATCGAAGAAGTCCGTCAACTCAATTGAACCTCATCCATTTAACCATCCTAGATCAATTTATTTGTTTGTGCGAAGTGAAACACATGGTGGTCAAAGTAATTTTCAAGGGAAACGAGGGAGAGAGTGCAGCACCTTGGGGGGGGGGGACGCCGGCTTCAGTGAGTACAGCAGGGGATGATTTACCTTTGTATACGGTGTACTGCTTTCTGTTAGAGAGGTATAACTGCAGCCAGTTAGTGACCCAGGACTCAGTTTTTGTCAAAGAG